TCTCCTTCAGGTCCAGATCTACAATCCGGCCTTCTTCAAATACATCCATGACCGATGGACCGAGCATCACGGGCGCTACCCGTCCACGGGGATGCTGGCGCTCTTCTTTGCTCTGCACGTCTGTGACGAGGTCAGTTTTGAGCTGGCTAAGAAGTGACACACACACACACACACACACACACACACACACACACACACACACGTTCTCCTGTGAGAAAAGTGTATGTGTGTGTATTTTGTGGGGAGCAGTCTGGAGTCTGGCAAGTTTCCTCAGCCGCCTGGTGCCTTTGGCACAACCGAGGAAGGCAGGTCAGCGGCCGAGGAAGGCCCTTCTGGCTGAAGCAGCCCCATGGCCTCCAGGAGCAGCCCTGGGTTCAAGAACATGCCCACTGCCCGTCGAGAGGGAGAGCAGCCCTGCCCCAAACCCAGGCCGGAGTCCCACCCCAGGCTACTCTTTCTGTGGAGAGACCCCCCCCACCCGCCAAGCCGTCTTCCCTGGTTCTTCTCCCAGTCCCTCGGTGGCATCCAGGAAGCCACTCCGAGCGGCCACAACTTCCCTGGCATGAGGAGGGGAAGGGGACATGGTGGGCCATCGTCAGCTGAGGGTCACAATCTTACTCACACCTCCTGGTGGCCTCACCTCGCCCACCTGGCAGCTTCAGGGACAGGTTGAAAAGCAGAGGGTCAGGACTGAGCCCCAGAGCGAACGGCCATGAAGCTGAACAGGAGCACCCCCCTCACCCCCATCCCCACCTTTGAGGAGTCTTTAGCCCAAGGAAGCTGCAACCTCCCTAGAAAGGGCCCCCGGATTCCCAAGTCAGCCGGAAGGGCCAGGAAGCCTCCCTGGTGGGTGGGGTCTCCTGGACAGGTTGAAAAGCAGAGGGTCAGGACTGAGCCCCAGAGCGAACGGCCATGAAGCTGAACAGGAGCACCCCCCTCACCCCCATCCCCACCTTTGAGGAGTCTTTAGCCCAAGGAAGCTGCAACCTCCCTAGAAAGGGCCCCCGGATTCCCAAGTCAGCCGGAAGGGCCAGGAAGCCTCCCTGGTGGGTGGGGTCTCCTCTNGAAGAGACCGGCCAGGTCCTGCTCCACTTCCCTGAGGGAGGCTCTGCTCGGGTGCAGGGGGGGGCCCTGAGGGGCCAACCGCCGGGGAGGGTGTCCCCTATGCTGACTGCCCCTTTCTTCCTCCCTCCCTCCCTGCCTCCTCCTCTTGCCAAATGCAGGTGAACGTCTTTGGCTTCGGGGCGGACAGCCGGGGCAACTGGCACCATTACTGGGAGAACAACCGCTATGCGGGAGAGTTCCGGAAGACGGGCGTGCACGACGCGGATTTTGAGGCGCACGTCATTGACGTCTTGGAGAAGAGCAACAAGATTGAGGTGTTTCGTGGTAACTGACTTCTCCCCAGGCACCCTGGCTCGGCTGAGACTCACGAGACCAGCCACCTGGGGATGGGCCAGAAGGGGCCGCTGCCTCCCTCCCTCCCTCCCTCCCTCTTGAAGAGGGAGTCCTGGATTTCCCCTCGGTCTGGAGGGCAAAAACAGAGTGTGGGGGTCCTTGGGGTGGGGTGGGGGTGGGAACCCAGAGGATTGGCTGATCTCAGCCCAGGGTTTTGCCTTGTGATGGGGTGGGTGGGGGGGAGAGTCTTGGGGGAGCACCTGGAGGCTGAAGCCGGAGAGCCTGGCGGTTCCTTCCCAAACAGAGGTGAAGAGCTGGAATGCAGAAGGGAGGCTGGCGGCCACCGGAGGGGAAGGGAAGGCAAGGCAAGCCTCGCCTCGTCGTGGCTGGTCCAGAGCCTCGGAAAGGGCCTGCAGCTCCTTGCTCTGGGTCTCCTGGCAAGCCTCCACACAGACTGCCTGCCAAGACGGAGGCGTCTCAGGCCCTTCATCCTCTTTTTAAACTCCACCGAGGACTTCTGGAAGAAACTCTTCAGTCTTGACTGCCTTTTTAAAAAAAAAATAACAAACCAACTGCAATGATCAATTTTCCTTTGCTAAGTGGCAATCACCCACTTTCCTCCCAAAGGAAAGTTCCTTTTGACACTCACTTCGGTACAATCAGGTTCGAAAGGCAGAGCAGCTGCGATCACGGAAACCCTGAACGATTTGGCTCTCCGGAGAGCTGACGCCTTCGGCACCCTGGCGGGGTCTGGACCAGGGGGTGGGGGCGCGGGGGGGGATGGGCGAGTGTGGGCACAAGCAGGTCCCCCCCCCCGTCCAAGGGAGCCGCCACGCATGAGGAGTGGACTTTGTGGGATGGGAAGGGGCCCCCTTCCAAAGGCATTCCAGGGGAAAGGGGCCTTACGGGCTCTCCTCTGTCATGCCTTCCGGCTGCCCAGGGGCCCTCAACAAGCCCACCCTCGCCTCAGGTTTGGGTAAGCAGGAGATGGATCCTGCGTGATGGCTGGCTGATGCTTATAACCCAGGTCTAAGTGGGGGTGGGGGTGGGGGGGTCTTCCTGTTCTGCCTCCCCTTTTCTGCCCAACTCCGTTCTTTGACAGCATCAGGTGTGGGACAGACCGCCTCCTCCTCCCTGAGCAGCAGACGGAGATCGCTTCCGGTAATCAGAATGTCAGCAGAAAGAGCTCCTCTGCTCTCCTCCTGCAGCCTTCCAAGGTGTTGAGGGGTGCAGTTAGGTCTCTGCCTTCTGCAGCTGAGAAATTGGGGGGTGCAGGCTGTGTGAGGGCCTTTATTTTCACAGGGAGGGCTGGTAGACGGAGGCCCCACTGGCTCAGAGTAAGTGTGCCCATTTGCTTTTCAGTCCCGTATCTTCTTTTGGAAGGCTTTGTGATTCTTGTGGGGCCACAGGGAAGTTAGAGGGATAGTCGCCCCCCTGCCCCCCCTTGCTGCCGCCTTGCAGGAAAAGTGGGCTCCAGCCGAGCCATCCTTGGGCATCCTAACCCTTGAGGCCTCTTGGTGAAGCATAAGGGGTTGCCATCAAGTCAGATGATTCACCTGGTTTTCTGGCCTTGAAAGGCTGTTGGGAAAGGAGTCGAAACCTTGGAATAATGTGCACGGTTTTCACTACAAAGCCCACCCTCAGAACGTTGTGCTGGTGGCCTCTTGCCGGCCTTGGGGGCAACGAGGATCCCATGAGTTTTCCGTTCTGCCACGGCTGTTGTGGGAAAGGAAGCCTTGAGGCAAGACAACCAGCAGAGGAGGCTTAAGAAGGGAAGGAAGGTCATCTCAGCGTCCAGAGAAATCTTCCGCTCCCCCAAAGATCATTGAAGAGGCTTGCAGCAGGATGGCAGGTGTTGCCGAGACCTGCTTCACCCCCACTGTTTACTTGAGGGTCTTCAACCCTTGCCAGCGTCTCAGCCCCTTCCCCCCCCCGATTCCTTGAGGTGAGCAGCGGGCCTGGGGACAGAGCCGGCCCATCCGGAGGGCCAGCTAGACCAGAGCGGCTCCTGCTAGTAGCGCCACTGCTCCCGCCCTTGCTCCCGTCGCCGCCCGGTGCCTCCTTCCTTCCTGACTGCAGTGGCTCTTCAGTCCTCGGGGGTGACGGGGGATGTGTGCGCACGGTTGGTTGGGTGTGTAAGGCAGGACGCGCTGGCTTGAGCCTTGCCTATCAGGTGGTGCTGGAGGGGCCGAGCAGAAACCAAGCAACCCCCCCCCCACGCTGCCGCCATGGAGTGGTGCAGGCCAGGCAGACACATGACTGCCATTCGGAGAAAGGGGCCCCAGTCCATCCCACCTCGAGGGGGGCCAATGGTGGGGGGGATGCGCTCCTGGCCGCTCTCTGTCCTTCCGAGGCCCGGCCGCCTAGCCTTCTGTGTTCACCAGCTCCTGGGGTGGGGGGGGAGACGGGGGGGGCAAGAGCTAAGACCCAAAGCTTGCTTTCCTGCTGTGGCTTGTCTGAATGGAAGCTTTGCCCACGGCTGCTGCCTCTTGCCGCTTCCTGTCCGGCCAGGAATTCGGGGAGACAAGGTGATTTGCTTTGCCCTTGCCAAGCAGCCGGAATCTGCCGGCAGCTGCTGACAGGCCAGTCTCAGTATTAAGCGCCCTTGTGCTGCCCTCATTTTGTACTTTTTGACTTCACCCGCTGCCCCTGGAAGGAATGGGATTTATTTTGTTTTCTGTTGTGCAAAATAAAATCTGTCCCTTTTTGCTTCTCTTGACTCTTGCACTTTCTGTCAGGGAGGGGAAGGGGGAAGGTCTGCTTTTCGGATGTGCTGTTTGGCAGCCTGTGTGGCTGCAGGGATGGCTCAGAGGCCCTGGAGGGTCATAACAGGGCAATTCAGCCTCATCGGCTGACGGTCCGGCTTGTTGTGGGTCAGCCTGGCACCCAGCGGATTGTATCTGGCACCCCCCGAGGGGCATGCTGGGCAGGGCTGCCATCAGAGGGGTGGGAGGGAGGGAGGCGCAGCTGGATCACGCCGGGAGAAGCCTTTCCACCAAAAAGCCCACACACACACACAAAACACCAGGGCTAATGAGCTCACCTCTGGCAGAAGGGCCCTCCCGCCCAACCTGTTTGCTCCTGGCCACGCTTCGGATCAGGGCCCATGCTTGCCGCCTGGCCTTTCGGCGATTTCTGATTAAAGGATCCTCTGCCCCCACCCAGGCCAGGAGACCAGCCAATGGAGCCACGTGCCAGGCCACGGGTGAGGTGCCACACAGTCCGTGGGGGGGGGTCATGCCCGAGGAGACCCGCCGTGTGTGTGTATGGGGGGGGGTCCTTGCCTGGTTTGACTGCAACAGGCTAAACCATTCACACAGAGGCAAAGGAGGCCAGTTTTTCCTCAGTCCTTGAAAAACAAGGTGTCATTTTAAAAACCAGGGCTTCAGGGCATAAGCATTTTAGCCCCCTTTGGCCCCAAAGCCACGATGCTTCCAGGGGGCAGATTTGTGGGCATCAAGAGGGCTGGGCAGAGGCTTGCAGGCGGCCTCTGCCTTCTGACCCTCCTCCTGCAATCACAACAGGCGGCTACAGAGGTTGGATCCAGAGACCCTTTAATTGGCAGGTATCAGTGCTGGAGCCCCCCACGGATGGTGCCCCCTCCCTTTCTGGGTGCGGCTGCACCGCCTTCCCCACCAACTCCAGATGGGTGTGGAGGGGGGTGGTGGGTGGGACCGTCTTCTCACCAAGGGACCACTTCCCCTCGCCAGTCCAAAAAGCTGCCGTTGTCGCTGGCAGAGAGCCTGGCGAGCACCTGAAGGATGGCTTGCGTGCTGGAGGCCACGCTCAGGACTTCCTAGGAGAGAAGACAGGCAGGCAGGAGAAGGCAGGCCAGGGAAATGGTCCTCCACCCCCCCCCAAGCCCACGCTGTGGTCCAGGGCGTGAACCCAACAGGCTCCCAGCATTGGGATGTTTGGAGGGCAGGCGGGCGGGTGGGCGGGCATGGGTGGAATCTGGATGTGCCACCAACCTGACTCGGGACCTGACCGGATGACCCAGCGTATCTCCCCTCACTCCTTTGCCCAGTTTTTCCTGGGAGCTACGCCTCCAGCCTCCAGATGTCAACTTGACTCCCTTCGTCCACATCTCTGGCAGCTCCGGCCAGGCCAGGCCAGGACCGGGGGAGGCAGCAAGAAGAGTGGTCTCAGGACACCACGAGGGCCGAAGGTCCCCCCCCCCCTTCAGCTACTTCCCAGCCTGGGACTCATTTTCCACAGCCCTGTTATCATTCACCTTGAGGGTTTCTGTGCCATTGGACAAAGGGTGGAGTTGCTCCCCAGCCCAAGGGGGGGCCGGGGCCCTTGGCCGTCCAGAACCTCGCTGGCCAACGAGGCAGAGGGGCCTGGCCTTTGGACGACGGTGCCCTTGAACAAAGGAGGCCCCTTTGTTAGAAAAGCAGGCCTTGGGCTTCCCTCCCAGCTGTTAGGAGGGAAGGCCTGGGAAGAAGGGCCAGGTGAGGACCCCGTGCTTCTCTTTGGCAGAAGCCGCCCCCTCCCCCACTGGTCTGTACCCCTCGAAAGCCTGGGTCTCAGCGCCACGGACAGAGGGCTTCCCTTTGCCCGAAGGGGCTACCAGGCTGCAGGGCTAAGCTCTGAAGGGCCACGATCCTTCTGGGGGCATCAGTTGCCTCCAGCTGCTTTGCTCAAAACGGTTTCCCTTTAAAGATGGTCCAGGTGACGTGTGGTCCTGAAAGCACTTCTGTCTCCTTCTGGATGACATCCTAACTGTTAAGATATATTGTATTTCTAAACCCTCTGGTTGCAGCGATTCGCAGACTGAGTGAAGCATAAGAGGAAGGGGGGGTGTTATCAGCCAGCATCCCTCCTCCTGGCCACTCCCTGCCCCCCTCCCCCCCCAGGGCCTGGACTCCCACCAGAGCCTGGTGGTGTTGTTTTTAAGCCTACCTGCTCCACATCCAGGCCAGTTTTCACATCCCCAGGATGGATCGAAACGCACAGGATCCCCCAACAGCCATAGCCTCGTGCCTGGCATCTGGTGAGCATATTCAAAGCCGCCTGCAGAGGGAGGACATGGGGATTGCTTGGGCACCCAGGCCTCTGTGCAAAGTGGGGCCGAGACCCCTCTCAGGCACAGACGTTCACCAGAAGGCCCCTGAGGGAGGGGGGCCAGCGGTCCTTGCACGGGTCCGCTGAGGGAGAAACCACCAAGACCCCCTGTGGCATCTTTAAAGATCAACCGTGCTTCAGGCTGTGTAAAGTTTTGGACACAACAAGCTGTTGCCAAATCAGACCTCTTGGTCTTTTTGCTGCCAGGGGGCTCCTTCTGGGTTCCCATGGAAAGAGGCCCCTCAGGACAGTTCGGGGCCAGGTCGAGGGGGGGGGACGTTGAGCAGGGCGGGCGAGGAGGCTGAGCACCTTCCTGCACCCTGCGGGTCTGCTCTGCCCTGAGGCGGTTCCCTGGCCCAAAGGAGAAACAGAAAGCCTGGCCAGGTGGACGTGGAGGCAATGAGGGCATGAGTGCAGGAGGTGAGACACAGTAATTTAAGCCACACACACAAACACACAAGCATTAGTGCCCTCCAGCCTCTGCCGTCCATGCCTGCAAAGTGGGAGGGAACATTAAATGTCCACCAGCCCTTTTGCCTGTGGGCAGCAGGGTGCCCACCTACCCACCCAGGGAAGTCCAGCCTCCCCTGCAGATTCTGGCCCAGCTGTAGGACGCCAAGGAGGCCTCTGAGGCCCCTGGTCACACTTCAGTCCCCAGCCCTGTTCACCAAGATGAGACTTGCAGGGAAGGAAGCCCTCTCTGTCCTCCGCCTCCTCCCATGGAAAGCAAGGCTCCGGAGCCGGAAGGGCTCTCCTGGCTGGCTGCCTCCTGCCCTCCCTCCCTCCTCACACCCCAGAGGTGCCCCAAGGAGTGGGGGCCGTGGGGGCCTCTGCCCCTGGGGGGGCCCTTTACCTTGCTGCAGCGGTAGCCGACGTCTTGCTTCCACTGCCACCCCTCGAGGGCGGAGAGGGAGCCGTAGCTGCTGGAGATGTTGACGATGGCCGCTTTGCTGCACCTCATCCCTCCGCAGTTCCTCAGGGCAGCCCTCTTGAGCAAGGGGCAGAAAGCCTGAAAGGGAAACACACGGCCCGATCTGGTTGGTGGGGGAGGCCCTCCGTGGCCCTTGCGGCTCTTCCATGCCCAGCCGCACCCCCACACACACACACCCACACCCACACACCCCTGCCCTGCCCTGGGCAGCTGCCCTCAGGTGCCACAGAGGACAAGGGGAACCCTCTGCAGCCAGACTAGAGCTGGACTGGAGCGGCGGGGTAGGGGGGTGGGGGCTGCTCCCTGTGGGACGAGGCCAGCGGGTGGTCGGTGAGCTTGTGAGCTGAGCCGGAGCTTCTTGAGAAGGCCAGCCTCCACCCTCCCCACCTGGCTGACTCGCAGGGGCCCAACGGTGTTGGTGGCATAGACGGTCATCATGGTCTGGGCCGTCTCCGAGTCCAGGGTGGTGTCACAAGCAATGCCTGCATTGTTGACGAGCAGATTGAGGCCACGTCCCTCCAGGTGCTCCTCTGCTTTCTTGGCAGCTTCCTTGATGCTCTGAGGATCAGTAACATCTGGATCAAGTGAAACGGAAGGATTGGAAAGGACACCTCATGGCTCGCTTCCCCTGCCCAACACAAGTCGGTTTCGTTTTTGCAGAGTGTGAAGGCCAAAAACATGCTCTGGCTTCCTACAGCTGGGCCAGAATCTGCACGGGCGGCTGGACTTCCTGGCTGGGTGGGTGGGGGGCACCCTGCTGCCCGCAGGCAAAAGGGCTGATGGACATTTAATATTCCCTCCCACTTTGCAGGCATGGATGACTGAGGCAGAAGGGCACTAATGCTGGTGCATGTGTGTGTGTGTGGTTTAAATTACTGTGTCTCACCTCCCGCACTCAGGAGGAGCCAAACACTTGATCCTAATTCTTTTCATGGCAGCATGCTTTCCTTTTTATATACATCTCCACAATTAGATATGCAAAAAAGCTGTTGCTTATATTCCCGAGCTAATTCCAATGGCATTCATGGCTTTCCTTTTAACATATTTTCACAACATATCTTTTCCATCACTTGTGGAAGCACTCCTTCAAGATACAGAATTGTAGTTTCACCTAATGATACCCTGGGTTTGCACTTGTGGAAAACTGGTGTGGCACAATGGCCAGGAGGCTGGACATCAGCCATAAGTTTAAAGGGACGAGGCAGCCGCCCGCCTTGCAAAAAATCAATATGTATTTTTTAAACATCAGCAGGTCAGGGTGCAGATCTTGATTCATGGGACAAAAGGGGGTAGGAAACAAACATACAATAAGTGAGGTAAGAAACAAAATACTGACCCAGTTGGAGTAGAACCAGAGTTGACCCTTTTGGTGGCCCAAGAGCCAAGTCCTTTAGTGCCTGGAGAGAGGAAGAGAAACAGGATGAAAGGGGGGAAGCGGGAGGGACGGCTCTTGGAGAGGACCCGCTGGTCTGGCGCCCAGGCTGTGAAAGACGCCTCATTCCCTGAGGCCAAGGAGCAGCGGGCAACCTCCTCCGGGCTGTGGGCAAAAAGCCCCCCTGGCTGGCCACCGAGAGCCTTCCTTCAGAGCCTCGGCTGTCCTCCACCTCCACCCCTCCGGGAGGGGGAAGAGGATTATTGATTTGACTTGATTTGATTTGTTCCATTTTTACCTCCTCGCCCATCTAGATTCGGAGATCTACTACTCTGGGTGGCTTGCAGACCATAAAGATAGAAACAGCATTCAAATAACTTTGTTCATAAAAGCAATAAAGATCAATAAAGAAAACAGGTTCCAAGATGGGAAAAGGAAGCTATGTCATGGGAGGGGGGGGGGAAGGCCTGCCGGAAGAACCAAGTCTTCAACTTGTTTTTTAAAATTCCCAGCCAGGGCGCCAGTCAGATCTCGGGGGGGGGAGGTGTTCCAAAGATGAGGGGCCATCACCGAAAAGGCCTGGTTTCTTGTTCTCTCTTGGGGTTCAGCCCCTTAGCCGCCCAGTCTGGCTTGATTGAGTGATATGAGTAAAGCTAGGTGGGGACAGGCGCTCTGCCAGGTATCGAGGCTCTAAACCATTTAGGGCTTTATATGTAAGCATTAGTACCTTGAAATCAATGCGGAAATGAGTGGGTAACCCGTGTAAGGCCACCAGAGTGGGGGAAATATGTGGGTATCTTTTCACCTTGATTAATCGATGATGCAATGCGTGACTGAGCCACAACCGTCCACCTTACGCTTGAGCTCCTCCCGGAGGCCCCGTGGATCGGAGAGCCCCCCCCCCGGGCTGCCTCGTGGCAGGGTCACCTCCTGGCCAGGGTGCTTCTCCTGCTGCTCTCAAAGTTACTTGCATTTATGGTAACTGCTCTTAATGCCATAATTGGAGCCATTAATTCCAACGGCTTTATGTACACCTTATAAATTTTGGATAGACCCTTACAGTTGCAGGGCACCTCACAGGAAATGAATACAGAGATAATAAATATTTGACGGGAAGAGAGGGAGTGAGTGGGGACATTTTTTTCTACCAGAATATACGTAGCTTCTGTATGTCCTAAAAGGCTGGGAACACGCCCAAAAGAACAAGTAAAGGCACTTTTCAATGACACCATATTGTCTTCTGTCCTTGTCATCCCTTTCACACTTTCAGTTTTGCCTTCTCTGACATTCACATTTGTTAACCTCAAGCCCTTGCTGTCCTCCTGTCCTGACTATGAAGAAATCTTCAGATTTGGGGAAATTCTTTAAAAACACGACAAAACAGTTTTAGAAGAGGTAGCTGCATTTGTCTGTGCAAACGTTATCAGGTAAAAACACATTTTAAATTCAAATTTTAAAACACAAGAGCATTGTGGCACCTTCAGGACTAACTGTTACATCTTCATGTAAACTTTTGTGGAACTTCGCCCACTTCCTCAGACATATGAGGTAGCATACAGAGATTAACACAGCAAAATGTTCATGGACGACTTTAAGAGATAGTGGTGTCTGGTGGCATTTCACCCTTAAAATGATTTAGGATCCCCATTTGGTATTCAGTTCTTTTGAAGTCTGGTTCTGTAAAAAAAAAAAAAACCACCACATTCCCACAAGAGACACAAAACGAGGCAAAAGAAAAGAAAGAGAAAGGATGTTGTGGCAATTTAAAGATCAACTTTAAGCAGTAACAGTAACAATAAAAGAAACAGCAGAGAAACAATGTGTGTTAATATAGAGAAGAGAGAGCTCCACTCTGAAAGATGGGTCTGGTAGTTGTGAAGGAAAATAACAATAGATAATAGCACAATGATTATATTTGGCAATGACTGGAGATGGGCACACCCCAGAAACTGGTGGTTCCTGGTTACCTACAAACCACAAACTATCATGAACCCTCCCAAAAAAGAAGAAGCTGGCTCGTGCTTCATTTTTTTGGTTCTTGCACTTCCATGTGCATCATGTTGTCCCCTTTATAAAAATTAATTTCAAACATACTAAACTCAATAGAAATATAGTGCCCCCCCCTGTTTTCCCCAAAAAGCTTCTACAGCCACTCTTGAGTAACCTGAATCAAGGGATCCAGAGCAGAAATCCTCCTTTAAGGGACCCGGGGAACTGTTTGTCCTCACAAAGGCAACACTTTGTTGTCCTTAACTTAGGAAAGTGATGTTGGAGAAGCTGGAGGGAGCCATTTTCAGCCGTGGTGGATAGCCTTGCCCCTCGCCCACCCCCATCTTCCACTGGTGGCCATTTCTTTCTTCAGCTGCAAACCCTGCCCTCTGATTTTCCAGAGCAGGGCTATTTTGAACGCAGCCTCCTCTGAGCTCAGGGAAGGCCTCCTTCCATCCATGGGTTGGGGTGGAAGATTTCTGTCCAGATTCTTTGCTCCCCGGAATTCCTTCCTCATTGGCAGACTCTTGGATGGATCTCCAGGAAGACTTTGCCGCTGGAGTCGCGCACACAGACTCCAAGGCATTTATCCAGGCATTGACTCACCCTCATCCGCCCCGATTCAACAAGCTTCCATGAAGCTGTTTGATCCCCAGAGAAAGGTCACTCCGTCTTTGCAGATCAGGCCCCGGCTGAGAAGGGCACCCAAGAGGGGCCCCCTCCCTCCTCTTCCCCACCCCCTCCCCGGTGCCATTTAAGCGGGGGGAGGGGGGCGCCTGTCCCGTCAGCTTTTCCTGTCCTGCTGATCGCAGGATCCTGAAGCAAACCTTCTACCAAAGACCAGAGAGCCTCAGGCAAGAGGGCGCCTTAAGCAAAGCAACCGGTTCAGGGAGGCTCCCCTTCTTACTCCAGCAGGTGCTATGAGGAAACAGGTGAGGAGCCAGTGTTTTTACACAAACAGGACGGAGCCCTCCTGGTCCACCCTTCCAGTCTTGGTTACAGTGGCTTTTGCCAGCCCCAGACCCCCAGGGCTGTGGTCTCTCGGCGGCACACACACACCCCCAAGAGGCTGACTGACTTGTGCCCAATTCTCTGATGTGGCCCAAAGCCACCCTCTTTTTTTATACTCCTCCTGAAGGAGCCGAGGAGAGAAAGCAGAGGGAGGAGAAAATGGTAGTACGTGATGATTTCTGGTTTGTAGTTACCCACAAACCATGAACGATCATGAACCCTCCCAAAAATGAGTGCAGCTGCCATTCGAACTCTAATAGAGTGGTCTTAACCGACCAGATAGGCGGGATATAAATTAAATAAATGAATAAATAATAAAGATACGATCATCTTAGAACTGCAGAGCTGGAAGGGACCCTCTGGATCAACAAGTCCAGCCCTTGGCAAAGTTGTGTGTGTGTGTGTGTGTGTGTGTGTGTGTGGGTGTGTGTGTGTGTGTGTGTGTGTGTGTGTGTGTGTGTGTGTGTGTGTGTGTGTGTGTGTGTGTGTGTGTGTAATTGAATTCCCAACAGTACAGTTCATCAAACCTAGATTTCAGATTGTGTACAAAGATGTCCTGGAATTTTTCTTGGTTAAAATGTCCTAGAATGTGGAGCAACATCTGACGGTATGAAAGCTAAAACTGAATTGAACCATCCCAGGATGATTCTGGCCCCTGAACCGCTGAGAGCACAGAGCAGCTCCCAAGCTTCATCTCTGAAACCGAGGGCTTTCTTCTTCCTTCCTTCCTTCCTCCTGGTCCAGCCCTACAGCTTCCCTGCCTGGCCCCTGAAGGTGTCTCCCCCCCTACCCCCCCACCTGCCTTCACATTAGAATTTGGGGTCTGGGAGCTGTTCCCTTCCAAAGCCGAGGAAAGGAAGGATCCAGCACATCATCATCAAACTCCTGGAGGATCCACCACCACCACCACCTCCACCTCCACCTGCGATCTCCCCGGGAGGGGAGGGGGGACCAACTGTCAAACGGTGCTAACGGTGCTTACGGCCAACCATATATTATGCAGTCGGGTCTCCATCGGTGGACGCAGGAAGGCTTGGCTTGAGCTGCTTTCTTCCTGCCTTTTTTTGTGGGGCTTCTTTCCCCTCCCCTTTCAAGAGCTTTCCTCTCCTCAAAACGAGGGAGGGGGTCGACCAGGATCATCTTCAGACCCTTTCGTTTTACCTCATGGATTGTGGTCACAACTGAAAGGCAGCCAGATGCCTTTAGTGGGAGTTCTCCTCAGGTTCCTGGTTCACCCTCCTCTCCTGGTCGCTTCCCTACCAGCAGCCCCTCCCTCCCCCTGGAACCCACCCAAGCGTGGGCTGGCGTCTGTGGGGGTGCAGCACCGCCTGCCCCTCAAACACACAGCACAGATCCGGAAGCCCCTTGTGCCCTCGCGGCCCCACTTGGCTCCTTGTCCTAAATCCTCACCTGCCCTTTGGGTCCATCCGGATGCCGGCAGGTGGCAAAGAGGAGGCGAGGAGGATGCGGCAAGTTCATGAACTGCCAGACCAAGCCCAGGCCAATCCCCCGGTCAGCTCCTGTCACCAGCACACTCTGCACCTTGAAGTCCTCCATGGCTGCCCCTGCCATGCCGGCTGGAGGAACTGCAAAGGTTTGGGCCACCAGGGCTTATGAACCCTCATCAACACAGCCAATTATGCAAACATGTGTAATCAAAGGACTATTTCTGCCATGGTGCATGAGTTAAACACACACACACACAATATTATTGGAATGCTTTAATCCTAGCAACACAAAGCAATGTCTCATCCTAAATTACCTGGCAAGCTTCTCAAGGCTGAGTCACACTGCCCGTGGCAATGCAGAAAGGAGCTGGAACCAGTCCACCAAACTTGCAGCCTCCTGCCTGTGGGCCGGCCACCCGCCTCTCTCTCCTCTTGCTGCTGGTGCAAGAGTGACATGTTGGGGTGGCAGAAACCAGCTGCAGGCCCGCTCCTGTCCCTGGCTCACGGCCACCTGGTGAGCCGGCCAGGGGACCCTCCAGAGCCTTCCCCATGGAGTGCTTTGGAGAGAGGCCTGGAGGCCACGGGCGGGCGGAGGCTCAGGGAGAGGCCCTAGGAGGAGCACCTTTTACTCCCAGCATCCTTTTGAAGTCCTGCGTCCTCCTTGTGATGCAAGCACAGCCCCAGCCCATGGAAGGAGGACTGGAGGGCAGCTGGCACATCCTTCCTCCTCCCCTCTTTTTATGGCACCAGCACACGTGGAGGCAAGGCACCACGTCTCTTGGTGGACCACAAAGGAGCCAAGTAACAAGCATGGCTTCGCCATGTGGAGAATTGTTCGTGGTTTCCCACCCAGCCATGCTTTATTCAGGATATCCCATTCCGTTGCACCCTCTGCCCAGTTCTTCCTTTTTTGTGTGGGTGTGCGTGCGCGTGCACATGCACACACACAGAGAGAGAGAGAGAGAGAGAGAGAGAGAGAGAGAGAGTTCCTAGCATTAGGCAGCCCCCAAGGGAGCACATTTCTCACTGGGTTGTTTTCGTTTTCCTCCCTCCATCATGGATTTCCTCCCCAAACCACATCTTTCGCCTCTGCTCACCTTGGTGACCTGCAGCAGAACACCTGAGCCAGTGGCTCAAGACTTGAGTGGCCCCTGCTTTCCCTCTGGGCGGTGGGTGCCACCTTTTCACTTTCCCTAGTGACCCCGCTCTGGGTGGCTCCTAAGGGTACCCCATCCTTGCTGGGTTGCTGCCTCACGCCCCTCAGCCCCTCCCCAAAGATACCTCCCCGTGAAGCTTGCAGATCCTCTGTGCTCCTCCTGGGCTCTGATGTGGGTGTATGAGTGTGTCGTTTTGGCTACGCAAGGGCGCATGCTTGGAGACTTTGTTTTCTCTCACGCCCAGGACACCACGGGATGACTGGATGGTTGTGCATACTTGTAATGTCCCACTTTACCCACCCGTGCTGGTACACATGTAAGCACATGCCCGTTCCTGCTGTCCAGCTTGAGGCAAATGCTCCTTAGCGCCTCTGGAAAAGGTTCCTGGTGGACCAAGCCCAGGAGAGCGGTTGGAAGCCTCGCTCCCCTCTCTCAGTTGGGGCTGGGGCTGAGGGGCTCCCGGCAGCCCCACTGGGGAGCCCCACTTCCCTGCCTGGCTTGCTTCTTCGCCTGGTGGATCACGTGGGCAGGAGGAGGAGGCCAGCCCTCGCAGTCCCTCTGCAGCAGAAGTCCAAAGAGGTCAGCCGGTGCCCAGGCCGAGGGCGCCCACATTTCAGGATTCACTTGAGAAAACGGCATGATTCAGTCCTCTAAAAATCACCTTGCAGCTTAATTAAATGTAGGCACGCCAAGCCTTATACTCAGTAATTTCATGACACCTGTCCTTCCCTCCTTGTTTAATAAGTAATTAAAACAGGCCTTTGCACTACATAAACATTTGTCAAGCCTGCTGGAAATGAGAAGCTGAGCTGGGAGCAGGAGCCATAACATCCTAAAGGGAGGAAACAGGGCAGCCGCCATGGAGAAGCTTTACCCTCAGAGCGTGTTGGTGACCGGGTCCGACCGAGGGATCGGGCTGGGCCTGGTCCATCGCTTCCTGGAGAAGCCAAACCCACCCAAGTGGGTGTTTGCCACAAGCCTGGATCTGGCCAGCTGTGAAGGAAAGGTAAGGACTGCCTCGCCTCCTGGGGAAGGAGGTGACCCGGGTCTTCTGGAGAGGAAGGCTTCGCTCGTGGCCAGGATCCCCATAGAGGTCCCCTCCCGACGGGCTGATCCGCCTCCCCTGCCGCTAAACTCAGCAAAGCCCCCCCCCCCAAGCACAGAGGAGCTGAACCACAGACACTGGCTGAGCCTTCCCTTGTTTCTAGCCCTCCTCCTCCTCCACCTCCTCCTCCACCACCATCACGGTTGGGCAGCAAAGGGAGGTTTAAACTACTGCACAGCCCCACAGGGCAGTTCTCCTCTGGATTGGGGCCTTGTGGGTAAGAAAGGAAATGTGGCCCATCTTGAGCCTCTCGGCCACTGACGGACCACATCCGTGTTCTTCCTCCGGCTTCTCCTTCCCGAGGAATCCTTGACCCAGAAACCTTCGCCCACAACTCTTGCTAAACATCTCAGGCAAAATCTTCAAAGGCAGAGGAGTGTGGCATCTTCATTAGACCGATAAAAGCCAAAAGAATTAATGCAAGCTTTTGGTGAACAAAAACTCGGTTCTTCAGGCATAGTGCTAAAGAATCATAAACAAATGGAAAAAAAAAAGCATGCCAAAAGTTGCCAGACGAACTCTTCTTAAGGTGTGCTTAACCCTGGTGATAGGAGGGCTGTGGCGATGTGGTGGGAGTGGTTGGCAAGCGGCCAGCAGGCTTGCTGGAGGAGATCGGGCTGCATCTGACCACCTAAAAGCACCCCACGGAGTCCCACGCCCGTCGTGTTTGGCCCCAGCATGGGAGGGATTTCAGAAAAGGGGCCCGGAGAGAGAGCTGTTCGCCCTCAAGACACCAGCGTACTTCTGTTTTTATAATGTATTTTGGTTTTGTTATCCATGCTGAAATGACTAGTGTGGGCTACCAAACCACAAAGTCAAAGTTAACTTAGAACTCAGCTGTGAGGACACTGAAAACAAGTGGGAGGGAGGGAGGGGTCATTGAATCCGTCAGGGCAGTGGCCGTGAGCTCCCTGGAGAGCCCCCACCTGGAAGATTCGGGTCATTTCAGTGGAAGGTGTCTGGGGTGACTCCTGGCTCACTAGACAGGACACTGATGCTGTCTACAGAAGCGGGGCTCTCTTAAGAGGGAAAAGGCTCCCCGTTTGTTCTGAGGGTGGCTTGTCTGAGTCATCTCTGGCCAATTAGCCTGCTTTTGTTTTGGAATTAGTCCATAAAGGGGGAAAACCGGTGGCTTCGATGGCATGCCAGCTGCCTGGGGAAATGAGCCCTGGAAACTCTGCTTGCCCGTACAGTACAGGTGGCCAGGGGAGGAGACATACTTTCTGTGCCTTGAGGTGCCATCCTGACCCTCATGTGGTCTCCCCTGTTGCGCCTCAGCACTTTTCTCTCAAGCAGAGTTTCTCAGTCTAGGAGTTGTGACCCACCCACCCCCACCCCCAGGGTCATAGGTCTTCTATGTGTCATAGGTCTTGCTAAATAATTCCTTCCTTGACCTTTTGGAGCCAGATATTCAAGTGAGCCTGCGACAGGTCTGTATGAGAAATGGGCCCTTTGGAGGAGAAAGAAGCCTCTGTTTTCTGAGACTTTATCTCATTAAAAATACCTTTTTATGCAAAAATGATGAAGGCCACAGGTTTCCTGGTTATTATAAAAGGGGGGGGTCATGAAAAAGGTTGGGAACCACTGATAGGAAGGAAGGAAGGACGATGGAGGAAAGATAGCAAGAAGGAAGGAAGGAAGGAAGGAATGAATGAATGAATGAATGAAGGAAGGAAGGAAGGAAGGAAGGAACTTCTTTATAATAAAAGCTGTGGTTAATCTTGACAACTATTTTCATCCAACTATTGTAGCTCTTCCACTTATTTTACCCCTCAGAAATCAGCTGAGGAATGAAAACAGGATATCGCCTACAAAGTCAACAGTTCTGTGTAGAGTCAAATAGATGTTCATTGGCTTGAATCCTGTTGGTGGAGCTGTGCAGTTGTAAGGTTGGTAATGCTTTCTGTCTTTCCAGAAATTACAGAGCCTTGCATTGGAGCATCCGAACCTGGTCGCACTCCAGATGGGTATGTGTTTGTTTCCACCTTTGCTAATGTTTGGCAGGGCTGAAGAAAGTGAATTTTTAAATGTCTCCCAAACATCCTTCACATTTTACCTCAGTTTTGCCACCTCATTCTTGGCCTCATGGACTGGGTGGACACATACACTCAAAAGTAAGAAAACCCCTTTCTTAGGGGCTCAAAAGGAGCAGCGATGCCCCAGCGGTGGCTCTAAAGGAGGCAGCTCCTAATTTTGCTGTGGGATGCCAGGCTAAAGAAGTGGCCGGGGGGGGGAGGATTTGGGGGAGCAGAGAGGTGCCCAAGCAGGCTGGTCCTGCTTCCTGGGGGAGGCCAGAGCCGGTAACAGCTTTCCCTTCTCTGCGAGCAGATATCAGAGACCTGAAGAGCATCGAGGCCGCCGTGAAGACAGTGGAGGGACACGTGAAAGGGAGCGGACTCAACCTGCTCATCAACAATGCTGGCATTCTGATCAAATTCACTACCTTGTCCAATGAAACCGCCGAGAACATGTTCTCCCTTTACCGCACCAACACCATCGGGACCTTGCAAGTCAGCCAGGTGAGGTCGGTGGGCGGGCGGGCGGGCAGGAAGACACCCTGTTCCCAAGAGGTGTCATGAGCAAGTGCAGGAAGGGAGTCCCCAGGGAGGGTTATTTCCTCCTCGGAAGCAAGGGGACCCACTCGTAAAGCCTTGCTCGGGCCTGCTGGCCTGGGTTTTCCCAACTTCAGCAAGACCTTCTTCCGCCCGGGGTCCTGGGACGTGTCACGGTTAGGGGGTCCATTTCACTTTGCTTCCCCTGCTCCGTCCAGGCGTTTGCCCCCTTGCTGAAGGAGGCTGCCCGGGAGAGCACCCAGGAGGGGCTGAGCTGCAGCAAGGCTGCCATCATCAACATCTCCAGTGACTTTGCCTCTCTGGAGAAGATGTCCGGGTGGAGCCTCAACCAAGTCATCTCCTACCGCTGCAGCAAGGTAAGGGCAGCCTTTTATGGGCTTCCTAGTGCGCTGGCCCTGGTTGGCTTTTAGAGGGTGGTGCCCATAAGTGGAATAATGAGACACGGCCCATCGGCCAGCCTGGACCAGTTAAGGTCCTAAAGGGAGATCCAGGCTCCCCGCTGGCTGCGAGTTAACTGGTCTGTTAGTACAACGGTCACTAAGGGTGGGGCTTTTGCTTAAAACTGAAGGGAAAACCCATGGAAGCGGTGCTTACGCTCACTCTCGGGTTCTTTCATGGACTTCCCAAAGAGAACCCCTTAAACGTGAATTATTGGTTTAAACAAAAGAGGGGCACAAAGACATTTTGTGTGTTTTTCACGTTCCCCTTTTCCATCAAACTTTTCCTTCACCTGCCAACATGGGATTTTGAATCGGTAAAAGGGGCTGGGTTAGCTGGGCCCAGCAAGGATGGATGAGTGCCACTCTTTCCTTGATTCATCAGACAACTGTGCTGCCTGCTTGCTTGATTCTCCATTGCCTTGCTTCTGCCTTTTTGGAGAAGTGGTGCAACACTGAAGAAGAACGGAAGAAATGACTTGTGTTCCTCTGTGATGTACCACTAGAAGAAATCTCCAACCTGCAGGGATTTGGCATCTCCCAGCCAGCCTCAAGGCATCCTGATGCCTTCTGAAAATATTTTAGCCGTAAGCACTTGAAGAGCGGTTCCCACCGTGACCCCCCCCCAGGACAGCCAAGATGTTCCAACAACAAGGGCTGGCTCCATCGTTTTCAGGGTCCCAGAGTGCGTTCAAGATCTCAGGCGCAGCTGAGCACAAGAAACCAGGGTGGGGAAAATCACAACTCTTCCCAGGGCCGAGTTTGGCAGCAAGAGGATGGTGCCCGTTCCATAAGGCCATGAAAGGCTGACTTTGCATTGCATAACACATGCATCCTCAGGCCGTGTTCCTCTTATTTCTGTGTTGTTCTGCTAGGGCAGATCTTGGATGCTTACGTGCACATGTCTTAACAACACCGTGATTTCGCTTCCCAAGGAAGCGAGCTCAGGGCAGATCCATCTTGGTGCTGTTGGAGTACCTGCTGTTCCCAGAACACCCCCACCCACCCATTCCTGGTCCAATCTCTGCCTCCAGGTTTAGCCCCCTTCTGTCTTCAGCAGAGGATGGGAGCCGGTTGAAGCCAGACCTGCAGCTGGACAGCCTTTAAAGTCGATCTCTGTGTGACAGTGGTAGTGGTGGCGGCCAGGAGATATTTTATGTGTCTCTGCCTTCTGATCCCAGGGCTTGGAGGGAGCACTTAGATTGAAACGCCCAGTCTTGGCTCTGAGATATCCTCTCTCTCTCTCTCTCTCTCTCTCTGCCCTAAGACTGCTGTGAACATGCTGACCCGCTGCCAGTCCTTGGAATACAAGCCATTTGGGATCTTCTGCATGTCCATCCATCCTGGCTGGGTGAAAACAGTCATGGGGACTTTACTGGTCAGTGGCCGGCCCCACAAGGGGCAGCTGGGATAAAAGGGGGGGTTGACCAAGGAATCCCATGCCCATTGGCTGATCACTACTTCTTTGGAAACTGTTTTGGAGAAATAAACAAATTTCTCTCTTGCAGCCTATTTAGAAACATTTAAAAAAGCTAAAGTGTTTTGTGTCACCTTAGAAAACTCAGACATTTATTTCAGCATTTGGTGGTGAACTCTCAAAGTGTTGGCTAGCTCATCATCCTATCAGCAAGTACAGTAAGAAGTTCCATGTAACCCTTTAACCCTCTGTGTATTTTTTAGGGTTATATCTGAAGCAGCAGCAGCAGAAGGAGAAGGCAGGTCTGGAGTTACAAAGACAGTGCAGTGGTCATCTAAATATATGTTCAATAATTATTGTTTATTATTTCTTAGCTAAGGTTTCTATCATATTTTCCCTCCAATGAGCTCAATGCAACCCCAGTTTGAGGAGGAATCAATAAAACTGGCAAATGCATTTTCCTTCCTGGGTATTAGTGATATTTAGGCCCTCAACCTTTATTAGTTTCTCTGTAATACTGGAGCATTTCAGGAGTCAAATATAGGTTTTTTTTTTTTTTTTCTGGATGTGAGACGTGGCAGAAGCCACTTTTTCTAACCTCCTTCAGAAAGGGACCAAACGAGGCTTCTCTCGGAGGGCGTGCCGACACTCCGGGGCTGCCCCAAGCAAACCCAGTAGCCTTTTCTAACGGCTCGACCTCTCTCCTTTTTTCCAAAGGTCCCAACCAGCGTCAAGGACAGCACCACAGGGATTCTGGAAGTGCTTTCCAGAGTCTCCGAGAAGGACACCGGGTCCTTCCTGGACTGGGAAGGAAAAGTGGTTCCTTGGTGAAGCCAGGGAGTCTGGAAAGGAGGGTCGGTCCACAGCACGGTGTAAGAGGTCTCCTGTGAAGGACCGGCGCTGGAGATGCCTTCTCAGCCCATACGTCCAGCGTGTCTGAGCTGTGGTTCAAGCTTTGTGTTCCTGTTCTCAATAAAGTCAATGCCGTGCCAGGAATGAGCACATTTCTGCCGATGGCTAGAGAAGCAACCGTGTTCGTCTGTGTTATTTTGCAGCTCAAGCCAACCCAGAGTCTCCTGGCACCTCAAACCCTAACCAATGGCAGTCGGCATCAGCTCTCCTCTCCAGGTGCCGTTTGCCGAGTACACCATCCGCCACTTGGCTCTGAAGAGGTGGGTTGCTCCAGCTCACTAAAGCTGGTGCCTCCTCAAGCATCCTCTACTTCCAAGGCTCCGTGAGACTCTTGTTTGGCTTTGGCTGCTGCAATATTTTTAGGTAAAGGTGGCTGCCCCCCAGGAACCCTGGAGTCAGGGGTCGGTCACACCAGTCCTCAAAACGGTGTGTGTCTGAAGTGGGAGGAGAGGGAGAAGGGCAGACGGGGCAGAGTTTGAGAACCCTAGAATAAGAGAACTGGGGAGTCAGAAGGGAGCCAGAGGGCGAGCTGGTCCACCCACCTTCCCACCCCAGCGGTCCTGGTGCACGGCTGAGTTCGAGCTGAAGACGCAGTCGTCACAAGCAGAACAAAAGTCAAAGGCCGGCCGCCGGGCATTCAGGTGTACGTGGCCCACCGTAGCTCAGAGCTCAGCTCTAAGCATGAGCAGCGGAGCTCTGCTCTATTCCTGCCCCCAGCAGGGCGACCAGGTTCGGCCACCGCTCTCTTTGGCAGTCCTGCCCTGCGCTGGAGGGATTTTTCTCTGGAAGGAAAGCAGCTGCCAGTTACAATGCGCTCCCCAAGGATCTTCCCTTTGTGACTCAAAGTTTCTCTTGGGGTTAAAAGAATGGTGGGGTATGGACAATCTCTTTATATGGCAATAAAATATTGTTATTTTAAACACCCTAAGAAAGTGCTGACCAGCCCCAGCGGGGTGTGAAGCTTTGCCCTTGAGCCGATGTGTGGGATGGGGCTTTGAAGGTCACTGTCCTGTGCCACCCCCTGGGCATGGCACGGAGGAGCCTCTGGGGAAACCCGTCTGCTCTTGCGCTGCTTTCAGCTCTATCACCTCTTGGCAGGCCTGTCACTGCGCAGGTTGTAGCAAGCCTGGACCCTAGCTGATGCTGCTGATGCTGCTGCCACCGCCTGTTCGTGAAGGCCAGGTTGCCCAGGCTAGGCTGTCGGTGTTGTTATTTTAAACACCCTAAGAAAGTGCTGACCGGCCCCTTGGAGCTGCCCTCGAGAAAAGGATGCAGCGGGGTGTGAAGCTTTGCTCATGAGCCGATGTGTGGGATGGGGCTTTGAAGGTCACCGTCCTGTGCCACCCCCTGGGCATGGCACGGAGGAGCCTCTGGGGAAACCCGTCTGCTCTTGTGCTGCTTTCAGCTCTGGCACCTCTTGGCAGGCCTGTCACTGCGCAGGTTGTAGCAAGCCTGGACCCTAGCTGATGCTGCTGATGCTGCTGCCACCGCCTGTTCGTGAAGGCCAGGTTGCCCAGGCTAGGCTGTCGGTGACACACGGGGTGGGGGGGGCTCACTGGAATGCATGCAGATTTGGGAGGGCTCCACAGGCAGATCTCTCTCTCTCGCTTTCTCTCCCTCTCACACACACACACACACGCATGCATGCGCACACACAAGGGAATCGGTAACTCTTGAACCTCCTAAAGCAAACAGGCCGACACCCAGCAAACCTGTTTGCTTTCATCCTGATGCACAACAACAGTGGTGGAGAGAAATGTTGCTGAGTCACCAGTCAGGGCCTCAGGTGCCCCTTTCAAGCACCACACCTCCCTCCTCTCCTCCTCCCCTTAAGCCCCCCACCACCACCACGGCCAGTCTGGAAAAACCTTCTTGTGTCATCAGAAAATGAGAGAAGATGCCCTTTCAGGGAGACAACAGGCCAGGCGAGGGGGGGCATGCCCAGCTTTCAAACTGCTGAATCAAGCTGAGAGGATCCTGGCAGGGAGAGAGGGTGCCAGCTGCCAGCTTCATCTCTGGCTCCCGAGTGTGCTGGGGACATCTGGTGATAGTGGCTGGTTGTCGGGGCTGTGGCCACTGGTGCTGGAGATGGGCCACTCGATCAGACCGAGGCTTGCTTTGGCCCAGCTGAGCTCTCGTTCCTCTTCCAAGGCAGGGGCTCCACTCCAGAGCGCCATCGGGCCCCTTCGGCCAAGATACTTCCAGCCATGGCAGGAAGGGGTGAGGGTGAAAGGGGGAACCCTGGAAGAATGCTCCCGCCACCTGGGACGGCTTGTCTGCATGAATGCCCACCGAGATCATTCCCGTGGCCTGTGCGATGCGTGGGGGCTCTCGTGCTGCTAGGAAGGCGCCCTGGAAGAGCACCCCAGCCCTCCATGGAGTCTTGAGCAGAGAAGGCGAAAACCCTTGGGCACCCTGGACGGTCCACAACCCTGGCATCACAGGGACCCCCCCCCTCACCTTGGCTCGCTGGCAGGCCTGGGTTCTCCCTTTGCAGGAGAAGGGCTTCCGAGGGAGGGAGTGTCTCCTCCCCAGCCAGCTGGCTGGCTGCCTGCAGGAGTGGCCTCCCCTCTAACAAAGGGGAACCTGATCATTGTATGAAACCAGTGACAGAGAAGGTGGGCGAGGCCGGGAGTGACTCAGCCGCCTGGCAGGAAGGTTCAGCACCACTCGGGAGAAGCTGCCGGTGGGTCAGGACGTGACGGAAGCGGCCGTGGTAACTTCAGCAGAACCCATGGCTGGGACTCCCCTCATCCACAGCGTGGTGGTGACTGGAGCCAACCGAGGCATCGGTCTGGAGCTGGTGAAGCATTTCCTTCGGATGCCCAATCCTCCCGAAGTGGTGTTTGCCACCTGCCGTGACTCTGCAGGCCCCGGGGCTCGGGTGAGTCCAGATGCTCCCCTCTCCGATTTGGGAGGCAGAATGCTCCCCACCCCCGCCACTACTCCCCCTCCCCCGGAAGAACGAGGTCTCTCCCTCTCCCTGGGTTGGCACCACTGGCTTTGCCAAAGGCACCTTCATTCCTGGCTCAGTGCCCTTCTCTGACCCCCCCCTCCCAAATGCTTGTAAAGAGACTCCTCGGGAGGATGGAGGGGGCTCTTCTCTCTGAGCCTGGCATCTCCAGCCAGTGCCCGTGTGTGTTTTGGTGTTTGTGTGTGAGAGAAAGGCTGGCTCTGTCCTTCCTCTCCCAAGGAAACGGGCAGGCTTCTACTCCACACTTTGTTGATCTTCGCTGTTGATCCTCTCCGACTTTTGTACCAGCAGAAAACTCAATGGTTCTGCGTGGTTATACAAACAAGGCATTCATTTCAGGCACAGGAGGACTTGCCATGCATGGCAGGCATTGACTTCACTCAGCCAGGCTGCTTGCAGAGTTTGCTTACTGCATTTCACACCATGCAGGCGCGCTACTTCCTAGGCAGTGGGGTGCCCGAGGGCCACCCTGTCACTCTTCTGGAGGAAGGCGCCAGGGGAAATGCCAGTGGCTTTGCAAAGTCACAGCTGGCAGAGGCGCAGAGCAGAGCCTCCTGGGCAAGGCAGGGCAGCCTGCCACATCCCCGGTGGTTTAAGCCGTCTTTTTTTGGTCTGAAGCAGGCTCTTCCTTTTCTTCTGTCCCCTCCCGCTTGATTTGCTTCCCTTTTCTTGCAGGAGCTGCGAACGCTGGCATCCAGACACCCCAACCTGGCAATCCTGCAGCTTGGTACGTATGTAGAGTCACTGGCTTGTCCCCCACCCCCAACCCCTTCTCGCACATCATCTTCTTCCTAGTGGTTGCCTGTGGGAGATGTTGGAGAGATGGATGCTGGGGCTTGGAGGAACCAGTTTTTGGCCCTTCTGAGGAAAGAGAGCGAGAGCTTGAAGGAGAGCAGGAGTGGGAGGGAGGTAGGTAGGTGTGAGGACCCCCCTACCCACGTGCAAGAAGGGGACAGAAAGGCCTGCCGACCTGAGCAGCATCTGTTTGAACAGTCCCACTGAGAGGCAGGGCGGGTGGGGCTGCACCCGTGCTTAAATTGACACCCAGAGGGTGGGGCCCAGTCACACACACACACACACACACACACACACACACACACACACACGCGCGCCTCCCAAAGCCTTCCCAATCCTGGCAATTTCACACAGACATTTTGAGAAAAGTACTCCCGATGATCTTTTGCAAAGGAACTGCTCTCTTCCCTCCCTTTTGCCAAGGGCAAAACAAAGGGAAATTGACCTGCATGCTGGGGGGCGGGGGTGGGCGGGGGGGGAGGAGAGGAAAGACCCGACCTATGACCCCAGAAGGGATTTTTGACACAGATCTTTCAGCAACTCAGGAGTCCTTGAGGCACAAGGGGTCCTTGCCCCTTCCTTGCCAAGACCATTGCTTGACCAACTGATGGACAGACATGGCCAAGCAAGAGCTGGGGGAGGCAGGACGGAGCAGGCAGGTCGCCTTCAAGAGGGACGGGGGTCCTTCTCAGCTCCTGAGACTACTCAGCAAAGCCAGCTGTCTTACCCGCGTCCCAAACCCGAGGGAGAGCCACCCTCGGCCCGGCAAACAAGCCCTGGCAAAACACCCCGTCCTTTGCCATCAGGTAGGATGTTGCCTTGGAACTGACAAAATGGTTTGGATTTGTTGAGTCACCCACAGGCACCTGCCTTTTCTGGGCAAATACAAGGGAGAAACCAGGAGGATAGCCAATGTAGACGGGAGGCAGGATTGCTGCCTTCCAGCAAAGAGGGTCGACCTGTCAGACAAAGCAGAAGCTTCTCGAAGGGCCGGGTCCTCTCCAGAACTGTGGTGGGTGGTGGGATCAGGCCCCTGGCATGCATGAACGGCAGGCAGCATGGAGGCATGCAGGGGAGGGCATGGGCAAACGAGGCACTCGGGAGAGAGTCCCCTCGTGTCTTCCCACAGAAGCCACAGATGGGAAGAGTGTTCAGGCAGCCGTCAAGAGCGCTGAGGCCCGCCTTGCAGGGGCGGGTCTGAACCTCCTGATCAACAACGCTGGTGTCATGCCCCCCTGCCCCTTGGAGTCGGCGACCCCCGCAGGCATGCTGGAAGTCTACAACATCAACCTCGTGGGTCCAATGCTGGTGACCAAGGTCGGTTTCTCCACCCAAGAGGGAGGGGTTGCAAGAGAAGGGTCCCCCCCGCCAGGCCACCTGCAGCCTCCCGCCATGCTCCCGGGCCCAAGGGGCAGCTTTTGCCATCACCCGGCGGCATTTGTTCCCCTCCAGGCCTTCCTTCCCGCCCTCAGGACGGCTGCCCAGGCGTCTGAGCACCAAGGCCTGAGCTGCAGGAGAGCCGCCATCGTCAACATGTCCACCGTCCTGGGATCCCTTGAGAAGACGCCCGAGCTCTTCTCCTCCATGCCGGTTGTCTCCTATCGGTGCAGCAAGGTCAGCCTCCGCCTGCAGGACGACGACGACCTCAGGGCTGGTGCTTCCGCCCCTTCTTCGCTTCTTCGGAAAAGAGGCTCCCGGGCTCCCTCGAGTCAGAAGCCCACGAGCCAAAGGCGGCTTCCTGCGGGGCTTTTCCCAAGAGCCGTTGCCCTTCCCTGGGTGGCGGGAACCCAACACCCCAACTGGATCTCTTTCCTTTGTCCACTGGGAGAGAGAGAGAGAGAGAGAGAGCGGATCTCTTTCCTTTGTCCACTGGGGGAGAGAGAGAGAGAGAGAAAGGTGGGCTCTCCCACCCCCAATATGCCAGGAAAAGGTCTCCGTGGAAGGTCTCTAGAGGCCACCTTTGCTTTGCCACAGAGGTGGGCGAGCTGGTGCCATGGCCACATTCTCAGCCAGAGCAGGCAGCTGTGGGGCCTCATCCTTTCCAGAGGCTACCCACAGCAGGGACCACTGTGGCCTCCTGGAAATGGCTAGGCTGTCGGGAGACGTTTCCCTTCCAGGGCCGAGGAGGCCAGCGAGAAGGCAGAGAGCGCGAGGAACACGCTTGGCCTTTGGCCGCCATTGGCCAGCGTCCCCGCCCTCCGGCGTGCTGGGCGTTGCCCTTCAAGGGCCCAACTTGTTCTCCTCCCTGCCCTTGGTGGCCCGTCTGCCTGTTCTGCTCATCTTTTGCTCCCTCTCCAGGCTGCACTGAACATGCTCACCAAGTGCCAGGCAATAGGCTACCGAGAGGAGGGCATCCTGTGCGCAGCCATCCATCCCGGCTGGGTCAGAACCGAACTGGGTGGCGAGCAGGTGGGTCAGCAGGACTCTTCTGCAGAGCTGCGCCCTGAGGGGATTGGGCCCCACCGTCTGCCCTGCCTTCTCTTCCTCGGGGGCTTGCACTCCTTCACATGTTTCTTCGTGATCTGTGGGAAGGAAAGGTGGCCTTGTCCTCCCACGGGCACAGAGGCAGCGTGCTTTCTGCGGTGTGTGTGTGTCTATGTCTATCTGGAGCAGACGTATCGTTTATTCGAACATGTGCCTTCCCTGCTTCCACACAAGGGCTGCCGTTGTGTGCACCTCACTCACAGGACCTGCTTGCACATTCAAGGCCCAGCCGCCGCCACCGCTGCTGCTGCTGGTGCTGCTGGGAATCCAGAATGTTGGGCCCTGGCGTGAGCCTGGCCTTTCCCACCCGGCCAGCAATGGCCCAGGCACTCTGCCCACCCTCTAGGCATGTCCCTTCGTGGGTCATCTTGGCCTGGGCTCTCCTTTTTCCTCCTTCTCCTTCCAAAGTCTGCGTCCTCCCCTTGGCCTTTCACATCCCGGACGGCTTGGATCAGGGAGGGCTGGAAGAGGCCCCGGGAGTTCCTTCCAAGGGGTGCCCCTTGCTGGTCCTTGGGAATCAGAAAGAACCCTTCCCTCCTTCTGCCTTGCTGCTGGGAAGGTGCCAAAGCTTTCTGGAGGAGGGGGCGCGGCCAATTTCACAGCATACCCTCCCCCCCCATTGCAACCCTCTCTTGACCCCTTTTGCTTCTCCAGGGAGAGGGAATGGAGGCAGCATCCTGTTTGGTCCAGAACGATGGACATATCCTGGAATCACCCCTTGTAGGGAGACAATTCCCCTTGGCAGAAAAGGGCGGTCCCTCCGAGGCTCTAGCAGGTCGCCTTGGGGGGGGGGTGCCACTCCCAGAGTCCCTCACACACACACACACACCGCGTCTGCGCTGGCTAAGGCTGTTGAGAGGGGCTGGTTCAAAACACTGGGAGAGGGGGAGGCAGGAGGGCGAGCCCCCTCCTTGAGAGGAAGCTGCTGCTCCCGTGCGATCCTCTCTTGCAGAAGGCTCGCCCTGCTGCCTCCAGGCCCCTGGCCCCTCTGCCTGGGAGGCTCTTGGGGGGCAGAGGTTTCAGGGGCTTCTCTGCAGAGGGAAGCATCTCCCCCCCCCTGCAAAAGGGTCTCCCCTCCGCCTGCTCTCTTGCACTGGGCCTGCCCAGGTAAAGTGTTTCCCTCCTCCAGGAGGCCGGCCTGAAAGGAAGCCCCAGGGGCCAGACAGGAATCCTGGGGGGGGGGGTGTCGTTTGAGGTGCTTCCCCCTCTTCTGCTCGGGAATGACTTTGCCTCCCTCTGGCTCTTGCAGGCGCCCCTGACTGTGGAGGAGAGCGTGGCCGGCATCATGACCGTGCTTGGCAACCTGTCTGAAAAAGAGCACGGGACCCTCCTGAGCTGGGAGGGGGAGACCTTGCCCTGGTGAGAACAGAGGAAGGCGCGCCCCCCCCCGCCTCACCCTTGCCTCCTTGTCCTGAAATCTTACCAATAAAAATTCCTCTGGTCACCTACCTGAGTCTCCGTCTCCTGTTCCAAAATAATGCACCTGGTTTTGGCTGCTGCTGCAAGAGGAGGAGGAGGAGGCAGCGGCCAGCGGGCTGGGAGGGGGAGACCTTGCCCTGGTGAGAACAGAGGAAGGCGCGCCCCCCCCCGCCTCACCCTTGCCTCCTTGTCCTGAAATCTTACCAATAAAAATTCCTCTGGTCACCTACCTGAGTCTCCGTCTCCTGTTCCAAAATAATGCACCTGGTTTTGGCTGCTGCTGCAAGAGGAGGAGGAGGAGGCAGCGGCCAGCGGAGCGGGGGGGCTCAGCACAGGAAAGCAGGTGGCCGGGCGGGAAAGGCAGGGCTCCTGGAGGAGAGGGCACCCGTGGGATGGGGGGGGCAGAGCCTCAGAAGGCCGTCCCCCCCC